TGTGTTGTATGTCACGTTTTGGTGGTAGGCCATGGGGAATGTCTTCGGGGAAAACATGGGAAAAGGTTTTGAGAAGAGGGGTGAGGAGTGGGTGTGGTTCTTTTTGTGTCGGTTGGGAAGGGGTATCAAGTTGGCTTAAAATGAATTGTTTGTGAGCTTTATACTCATGCCATTCTGATTTTATGAGAGTGGTAAGGGAAGTGGGGGGTGTGGATATGGGGTGGCCGTTTTTTAGGTTTAGAGGGGTAAGGAGTATTTTCTGTCCATCCTTAGTGAAGGAATATGTGTTTTTATACCCATCATGCATCACACGCCTATCAAATAGCCAAGGTCTACCAAGTAAAATATGACATGCATCCATAGGTATAACATCACACCATAATTTTTCCTCATAAGTTTTACCAATGCTAAATGATAACAAGACTTGTTGTGTTACTTGAATCCCTTTACCATGATTTAGCCATTGAATCACATCAGGTTTAGGGTGAGGGACGGTTTTTATTATCAGCTTGTCTATCATTAATTGTTAAGCTACATTGGTACAACTACCTCCACCAATAATCAAGGTACATACCTTACCACCAATGGTGCAACGAGTGTGAAAGATTGCCTCACGTTGCAAACTCCCTTCTTTTTCAATCAGATTGCTTAGTGTACGTCGAACCACCAAGAATTCTCCTTCATCCAGTCCAAGACACGCATACTCATCGTTCTCCTCAAGGTTGCTGTCCACTTAAATTTCTAATTTGTCCTCCTTTTCATGCTCAATCAAAGTGACAATCCTTTTGTTTGGACAATCACTAGCCAAATGTCCAAGGCCTTGACACCGAAAACATCTTCTTGGGGCTGGTTTTGGGTTGGAATTTTGGGTGTTTTGTGAAGGTGGTTTAGAAGTAGGCTGATTGGATGTGGGTTTGAAAGGTGGGAAATTGGATGTTTGCTTTTTTTGGGGTAATGAGGTTTGAGGTGCAAAACGTGATGATTCACTTTTGCCTCTTGCTTTTTGTTGCTGCTCAATCTTATGTGCTAAGATAATGAGCTCTTCAAGGGTGGTGTAAGGGTGTAGCTCGGCCACATTGGCTATTTTTGGGTCAAGTCCTCCCAAAAAGTGCACCGATGTTTGAGGTTCATCTTCCTCTAATCCACACTTCATGACAAATCCTTCAAATTCCCTAGCATATTCTTCTACTGATTTTGTACCTTGTTTGAGGTTATGGAACTTGGAAAAGTTTTCTTGCACATAGTATGTGGGAAGAAACTTTTGTTTCAACATTTTTTTCATCTTGGTCCACGATCTCACTTTCTCTTTGTCTTGCCTTTCCCTTTTGGCACACACACTAGCCCACCAAGTTGAGGCATATTTTCTTAACTTCAAGGCTACAATCTTCACCTTTTTTTCTTCCGGTGTTTGCTTGTAATCAAACACCCTCTCCACCGTTCTAAGCCATTCTACAAACTCATCAGCATCGAGTTTGCCATCATACTCCGGGATGTCAGCCTTAATGTCATTATTAGGCCGTGACCTTTCTCTTTTATGAAAAGGTCTATCATTGTGATTGAAATTAGATTCACTTAATTCTTCATCACTATGATTGGGTGAACCCTCTTTTTGATGGCGCAACTTAGTAGAAAGATCTTTTAACTGATCTTGCAAATATTGCATTCGTTGCTCCATATCTTCTTTCTCTTGTGCAACCTTATTGACATATTCTTGCCAATTAGGGGGTTGGATGTCGGACATGGTTTGTGTTTGGGGTATGTGTTTGGGTATGTGTTTGGGTATTTGTTTTGCTAGATCACCCTCCTTCTAGCGCCAAATGTTGTATATTTGGAGTAACACTCGAAATGCACAAGGGATAAACCAAGGGATAGATAAGGCTAAAGAACCAAAGGCTTCTTAGATAAAGTCACACCACTAAGAAACGTTTTGGATTCCTAAGATCACAAGCCAACTAGTAGCCTAAACTAGCTAACTAAGCAAAGGAAACGAAATTCCAAATCCAAGAATTTCAGGTTTTTGTTTCTAATCCAAGAAACGAATGTAAGACAAGTTTTTTGTTTGAATAATCTTATTTTTTCATTCACATTTGCTTGCTATTTATAGTAAACAAGCATCCTTAAGTACAAGCTAACTTAAGTGGTTGTTCAGCTCACTTGTTACACGCCTAAGCTAAAGCTAAGTACAAATCAGCTTTTGTTGTCTAGATACATTAATAAAAGAAGCCTTATTTAACTAGATACATCAAAGAGAAAATGGTGGCTTATAACCTCCAAATTAAGGCTGAAATAAAATCAGAATTAAGAGAGTGTAACTCCCCTTAATTCACGCCCATCCAAGCAGCAAGTTGGAGATGTATTTCCTCCAATATTCACGCCCAAATTCAAACAGCAAAGAAGTGTAACTCCTCCTTGGTTCAAGCCTTGAAATTAGCTTGAATGTATGTGGACAAGGGTGTACTTGGACGCCCATTAGTTGCTCCAAAAGCTGACTAAATTAAACAGCCAATTGAAGACTTAAATTAAGGCTTAAGATGCTCCAATGTTGACTGATATCAACGGCCACTTGAAGGCTGAAGTTAAGGCTTGTAATGGCTTGTAATTCCTCTTTGAAAACTGATTGTAACTCCCAAGTCAAAGCTTTGAAATTCCTTGTAAAAGAATTTTGGATTCCAAGCTTAAATGGCTTCCATTTTGATGTATCTTTGCACTTGTACTTTTGTGTGAATGTGACAATATTTTTCGAACTAAAATCAGCTAAAAAGAACTAAGAAAAAATATAACTAATTTGCAAACTTAAAATGACTAAAGTTTACAATTTATTCAAAGCATAAAAAGAACTAGAATAAACTAGTTAATAAGAACAACAAGAAATTCAAGGGATTGAATATCTTGCTGCCCATGGATAGAATGCATAGCACCAATACATGATGCTACATTTTGAACCAAATAAATGTCCATAACCAAGTTGTTAGGCTTGGCTACAACAGGCAAGGGGTGCTCGATCAAACAACTCAATGCCATCAACGATTTGACCACTCTAATTTCGGATTTAGGGAAAGAGGTTGTATCCCTCAGGGCCAAGCTTGAGAGTTCTCCTTCGCAAGCTCCGATTCTTCCCTCCCAAATTAAGGGGAGAGATACACCTTCTTACCCTAACACTTTTCCTTCTTCTTGTTGCATGATTAGGGAATGTTGGCCTTGTGATTTATATGGGAATGAATGATCATGATGCTTCTATGTGCCCCAATGTTCCTTGTGATGAATGTGATGGAATTAAAAATGAGCATGTGAATTATGTTGATAATCATAATTTTTAACCTAGATTTGAGGTTCAAATAAATGTTGGAAATAGGAATTATCATAACCAAGCGAACTATGATAATTATAATCAAAGTGGTGGCTGTAGAAATCATGGAGTCCAAGAGATTTGTGGTGGCTATAAAAATCATGGTTATAATGGTCAAAGTCATGGCCGAGGGCATGGGGATCATAACCAAGGTTATGATAACCATAGTCAACATCATGGCCAAAATCAAGCTAGGGGTAATTGGAATAATCAAAGTAGGGGAAATTTTCAACCTAATATTCAAAGAGGTACCCCACTTGGATCCATTCCAAATACTCAAGGCCCAAGTGATAATTTCTATTATCAATTATTTTCTTCTAGGAGTTTCTTGGAAGAGGTTTTTTTTAGAAACAAGCCAATTTGCTAGGATCCTACATGGCCATGAATGATGAGAAGTTTAATGACATGTTGACTCAAAATAAGGAGTTAGGAAACCGACTTTCTCAATTGGCTAGTGATTTAAAGGAATTTAAGAATTCTTCTTTTTTTTTACTACATCGAGCTTAGATTCTAAGAACCCTATGGATGCAATTGTTACTAGGAGTGGTAGGGTCCTTGAGAGTGGAGTACCTAAGAAGAGTGATGCTAGATAGAGTACTAGCAAGAGCCTGATTGAGATTGAGGGAGATGAGAGTCCCTTAATTGAGAAAATTTGTGAGGAACAAGTAGAAAGAGTGAAAGAGAAAGAGAAAGAACTTTAGAAGCCCAAGCTCCCTTATCCCCAAAAGTATAATAGCCACAAATTGGATGAGCAATTTGGGAAATTCATAGAGATGCTTAAGCAACTTCATCTTACTCTTCCTTTCACTGATGTGGTAGAACAAATAACAAACTATTCTAAGTTCCTTAAATAAATTTTGAGTGGAAAGAGGACATGTGATATGGCGGAAACGGTTACCCTAACCAAGAATTGTAGTGCAATCATAATGAATAAGATGCCACTTAAGTTAAAGGATTAATAAGATTGAAATTGATAATGCCTTATGTGACTTAGGAGCTAGTGTTAGCCTTATGCCGTATTCGGTCTATCAAAGAATAGATCTAGGAGAACTTTTACCTTCCAAGATTACATTGCAATTAGCCGATAGGTCGATCAAGATCCCAAAGGGTAAGGTAGAAGATGTTCCCTTGAGGGTGGGAAAATTTGTCATTTCAGTAGATTTTTGTAGTGTTAGATATGGATGAAGATGCTAATATCCCTATCATCTTAGGTAGACCATCCCTTGCTACATCGGGGGCTATGATTGACGTCAAGAGTGCTAAGATATCTCTTAAGATAGGAGAGGAGGTAGTTGAGTTTGATTTGAATGAAGGTATGAAATATCCCTCTTCTTCTTTTGAAAATTGAATGAGATTTGAAGTTCTTGATAATATTGTGCAATCCATGCATGAGAACTTGCTCACATCTAATGATCCTCTTGAGTGTGTTTTGTTGAACAAAAAAAAGATAGGTGCTCCTAGAAAGGAAGTGAAATTGTATGAAGATTTGCTTGAGGGAAGCATTGAAGGAAGTGATGATTATGGTGTTTCTAGAACGCCTTCTAAGGTGCTTCAATGCGGATTATGGTGGCCAAATCTCTTTAAGAACACTTGGGAATTTGTCAAAAGTTGTTACTGATGCCAAAGGACCGGGAAAATTTCAAGGAGAAATGAGATGCCCCAACAACCCATCCTTGAATTGGAAATTTTCGATGTTTGGGGAATAGATTTCATGGGTCCTTTTCCTTCTTCATATGGGAATCAATACATTCTTGTTGTCGTTGAGTATGTGTCAAAATGGGTTGAAGCCATTGCTTCTCCAAAAAATGACCATAAGGTGGTAATGAAGTTGTTTAAAAAGATAATCTTCCCAAGGTTTGGCATTCCCAAGGCGGTTATAAGTGACAATGGGTCTCATTTTGTGCATAGTGCTTTCCGGAAGATGTTGAAGAAACATGGGGTAACCAACGTTTTGGGCTCCCTTACCATCCTCAAACTAGTGGGCAAGTTAAGGTGTCTAATCGTCAAATCAAGTTGATACTTGAGAAGACGGTTGCAAGAAATAGGAAGGATTGGTCGGATAAGCTTGATGATGCCTTGTACGCATATAGAACGGCCTTTAAAATTCCTATTGGTACCACTCCTTACTGCTTGGTTTATGGTAAATCTTGCCATCTCCCGGTTGAGCTTGAGCATCGTACTCATTGGGCTATAAAGAAGATCAATTTTGATTTGGCAAGTGCGGGTGAGCAACGTTGGTTAGATCTCCATGAATTGGAAGTGCTTCGTTTGGATGATTATGATTGTGATAGTTTGTATAAAGCTACAGCCAAAGAGGTGCATGATAAGCTCATTGAGAAGAAGAAGTTCAATCCCGGAGATAAGGTGCTCCTTTACAATTCAAGAATGAGACTTTTTCTCGGAAAGTTGATGTCCCGTTGGAACGGTCCATTTGTTGTTCAAGAGGTCTTCCCGAATGGTGTTATTGAAAATTTCTCCTTTGGACCTCTGAAGGACTTTTAAGTTCAACGGTCACAGGCTTAAGCGTTACTATGATGGAGTTTTTGTTGGGGTCATTCATGATATGACTCTCTGTGATCCACCTTGAAGGGTGGAGAACGTTAACCTAATGACGTTAAACAAGCGCTTACCGGGAGGCAACCCGAGTTTCTAACCCTTTTCTCATTTTCCTATGATTTTTTTTTCTTTTTCCTTTGATGCCTTTATTCTCTTTTAATCTTGTTTTCTTTTGTGTTGTAGGTGGTTTTGATTTGATATCCAACAATTTTGGTGCCAATTTTGAGGTAGAAATGTCCAAATTCATGAGTTAGAAAAATGTGTAAGTATGGAGATTGGTGGGTTCTTATGGTGGGTTCATGAAGTTCTAGTTTTGAACCCACTAAAATGGGGTTTTGCTACTGCCTATGTTGGTGTTTATCATCATCATAAATTGTGTGCCTACCGTTGTGCGCAGTAAAAAAAGAGAGGAGAAGTTGGTACCCAGGGAGGTGCGGGCACGCACGAGGTAGGTGCGGCCGTGCACACCCCAGGTGCGGGCGCGCCGCTGCTCGTCTTCCCCCTCTTAAACCCCGCGGATTCTCTTTCCTTCTCTCTCTCTTACCTTACTTTCTCACTCATGTTTTCTTTGGTTTTTGCTCAAGCATCATCTTCACCTCCATCATCATTTAGTCATTGAAATTTCATCCAAATTCATAATCATCTAGTTTATTATTGCTCTTAGTCTCAATTTTTGCACTTCCATGGTGATTTTCTCTCTCCTAAATTGAGATTTTTTTTTTGGTACTCTTTGATTGAAGTTTTGAGGTTTGCAATTTGGGATTGTTAGTGTGTAATAGTGCTCCTTATTCCATTTCTTTGTGATTTCTCATCAATTAAAGGTATGATTTCTTTATTCTTATGATAAATTTTCTACTTTATTATTCATGGAGATTTGATTTGGTTTGGTACTACTCTTATTAGCATACCCATGTTGCTTACTACTTGCTTCATTTGATTGTGTTGATGATGAATTGTTGATAAATATATGACTTTGTGGTGTTGATTTTGTTTGAGTTTATTGAAAATTTTGGCACTACCATTGTTGCATTTGTTATTTGGTGTTGTTGATTTGGTGATGATGATGTTCATAAGGGTTTGGATGGTTAAATGAAATGTTGTTGCTCACTATGGATGATTATGGTTTATAATTGTGGTTTTCTAAGTGCATTTTTCACTTGATTGTGAATACTTGCTTATTCCCTTGATTATTTTGGTCCTTATGGGATTTGCCATTATCATCCATTGTCTTTGCTCATCATTTTCCCTTGTTATTGAACCTTTATCTTCCTTCTGGTGTGTAGATGGCGCCCCTTCGTCGTGCAAAAAGGGCGAGACGCTCTAATCATAGGGAGGTGGTTTCTCCTCCATGCTACATTAAGGAGACATATGGCATCGAGTTCACCAAGCGAGAACATTGGGACAACTTCTACAACTTGTCACCTCGAAAGCTCTTTTCCACAAGATTCTATGATGTGGCGGCAACAACTTTGCTTTGAATTGATGAGGACGTTAGGATGTTGGCTCGAAACTTAGGGCTTGAGGCTTTCATTGATCTTAATGCACCAACATTTTCCCGCATTACATTCGAGTTCCTCGCTTCTCTGGAGGTTCACGAGGATGAGCATGGTGATTCGCCTCCAACTCTAACCTTCCAAGTTTTTTACAATGATCACTCAATTCCACTTTCTTATCTCAATGAGGAATTTTAATTCCCGAAGCCATTGGATGGGACACCGTATATCTATCCGGATTTTTTAAACTTTGCAAAAGGATCATAAGTATTGTGAGGATAAATGGTGGAGTCACATAGCTGATGAAGAGGTCAATCGGCCGCAATACTCTAAGTAGGCCTCAATTATTCATGCAGCTATGAGGTATTTTAGCCGTACCCTCACCTATGCTTTCTTCTCTAAGAAATCCCTCGGTGTCATATCCCGAGAAGAGTTAAGTTGGCTTTGGCTAGCGGATAAGCCATGGGTAGAAGAATGGGAAGTCATAGATTTTGCCTCTCATTTACTTGATCGGTTTACCGATATTTGTGATGGAATTTTCCTCTCGGGTTGCATTCAAATAGGCGGCATGATCACCATCTTAGTTCTTTCACTTGACAAGAAATATGGGCCTATGCTGAAGTCCCTTGAGCCTATACATGATAAGAGGGAAAGACCCCTTCCCACCTTCTAAGCATCTATGCTTTGATCAATCAAAGTTTTTTGGAGCGCACTACCAAGAAGGATTTGTTTGTTTGGAAAGTTTGTCGGACTACGGATTGGTGTCTCATTCCTCACCCCAAAGCTATGGTCCGTGATTTAGATTCGAATTTGCCTTGGCGGCCAAGCAAGATGGCTATTGATCGTTCTATTCGTAGGGTTCCTTTGCCTACCCCTCGTCCCAAGCGTCGTGTTCCCCCAAGCTCTCAGGAAGGTACTTCTAGCTCTCCTCCTTCTTCTTCTTCTCCTTCTATTGATTTGTCTAGCTTACATGATAAGATTGATGTTATTTCCCTTGCCTTATCTTCCCCTTCTTTGGGTAATGGTTTTGTCGAGGGTTATGACTACCATGCTAGGAGAATTTATGATTTGCATGTTTCTAGAGGAGAGATGGAACCATATTTGAACTACCCCTACCTACCGGTCCAAGAGGAACCAATTCCTCAATGGGAACCTTATGATAAGACCATAGTACCCCGCCTTTGTTATCCCTATTGGGAGGGGCCCCATGTGGCACCTAGTGCTATCCGGGGGACTACCCGAGGGGACTATGATTAATAGAGGTCGAGGGGGTGTGATTTTACTTACGATCCGGGTAACCCTAACCCTTTTCCCTTGCCTGAGACCGATGGGAGGTGGGGACTCTCGGGTCCACCTGTTTTGGATGATTGGTCGCATCTCTATGCTTTAGATTTTCTTAGGAGGAAAAGTAGGACGAAAGGAAAAAGTGCTTTAGTTGCGGATGATGTGGTTCGTTGTGTTGTTTCTGATAATGGTGAGGAAAGCTCTCAGTCTACCCCTTACCATAGTGCCGAGTGAGACCGACTCGACTACCCTCCCTTCTTGCTTGATTTTCTCCAGCCGTGCTCTATCATGCCTTATTGTTAGGTTTAGCTTTGGGGGGGTAGCTCATGGTAAGCTTGGGGGTGCTTTATTATATTTTTTTGTGCTTTACATGATTCCCCATTGCTTTGATGGCTCTCTATGGCTTTATGTTTGGATTTCCTTTCTGCTGTTATTTGTTGATGATGATGTTTTTCTTCTGATGATTTCTGCTGTCATTCTGCCGATGATGTGTGATATCTGTTTGTCTTATTGATGATTGTTTCTGATGATGATTTCTCTATCTCTGTTCTTCACCTTTATTTTCTATGATTTCTTTTCTTTTCTTAACATTTGGTTTTGTTTGGAAGTTACTAACAATTTTCTTTGTATATAGTTTTCTTTATTTCTTATGCTCTCTTCCGGCTATGATTGTCTTGCTTCTATTTTCGAGTTTTATTCGGTGACTCATATATTCACTCTTTATTCTTGGCTAAGCATGGATTATCTGGTGAGACCTTTCCTTTTTCTTTCTTTTATTTTCTTGGTTTCTTAGATTAGGATTAGTATAGGGGAGATGAATGGTTCAAGGATGTATGTGTTTAACACCTTCCGTGTTTGGGATCTTTTGGTGTTGTTGCCATTAGATCACTTGTATTACGATTAGGATTTATGTGTTACATGTGCATTCTTGTTCTTTTCTTCATTTCTCGCTTCTCCTATTTATTTGTTCTTCCCTTTTCCTTTATTTTTCTTTTCTTTATCTTCCTCTTGCTTTGTTTATAGTTTTGAGGCTTTTTCTTTTATGATTTGGACTCCATATCACTTGACTTTTGCCTTTGAATGATTCACTTTGTAAATAATAGAGGTTTGCACATTTTGAGATTATGTTCGGTTGATTTAAGAAATAATTTATGCTAAGGTAGTTGGTTAGAACTAAGAGAATCAAGAAGTCGGATTCTACTTGATTGTGGCATGTTGGTAGTTGCTCCCTATGGTTGATTTGATGCTAATAGTGAGTTTTTGCTACATCCGTGTGAGGTTCATTGTTTTTCAAGCCTTCTACATATATTTGCATGAGCCGCATGGATCCTTGACATTTGCAAACCTAATCTTGAAACTTGACTCATAGTTCTTGAATCCGAGACCGAACCATTTAGGGAGGACAAAGGCATCTTTTCGGGGTGGTAAATTTTGTTTTTCTAGGATAGTTCTTTTAAATTTTTGTTCCTTTTGGGTTTACATTTGCCTTCTTGCTAACCATTTGAGCCTTTTCCCTTCTTTTCAAGCCACATCTTTAGATTCTTGAGTCTTTTGTTTCTTTTTGTTCCATATTCGGTTTTTGTGAAGCAAATGGTCATATTTTGGAGATTGTGGTGTATAAGTTTGGTTATTAGTTCAAAATAAAAGCAAGTTCATGTTTTGTGTATATTTTGTAAATAATGGCAAGTAAATAAATGAAAGAGCCGTCCAATATAAAAAGGCAAGGACAAAGAAAGTGCAAAGTTCAAAAGTCGTCCAAAGTTAAAAGAGGCAAGGACAATGCATTACAAAAAGAAAAAAAAAGTGAAAAATGAATATCCAAAAATATTTTGATGTATTCTTTTCTCCTTCTAAGCATTGAGGAGAATGCTTCATTTTATATTGGGGGAGGATGGTTTACGCCTTTTATGTATATGTTTGTGAATGTAGTTTTGAATAAGCTTGGGCGTATAAGTGTAGACACCCATTTGCGTCTCCCCAAAACCAAACCCGGTGATGAGTACCTTTCACGTCAAATCATAATCGAATGAAGTGAAAGTGTAGAAAGTCTAGTGTTGCGGATAGTTTTAATTTCTTTTCTTTTCTCTCTGTTTTGAAAACCTATTTTAAGAAAACAGCAAATCCAGTTTGGTTCGTTCATGATATGGGTCCAATAGTAGTGTAGTTAGA